TATGAAGGATATGGGGGAGGCGGATGTAATCCTTGGAATAAAAATTAAACGGATGAACAAGGGACTTGCTATTACACAGTCACATTACATTGAGAAAATTCCTAAACGGTTCAATTACAGTGATTGTACACCTGTTAGCACCCCTATGGATTCAAGTATGAAGTTGATGCCTAATAGAGGTAGATCAGTTTCTCAACAGGAGTACTTGCAAGCTATTGGTTCTTTGATGTATGCTATGACTAGCACTCGTCCTGATATAGCTTTCGCAGTAGGAAGATTGAGTAGATTTACTCATAATCCTAGTACTCAACATTGGCAAGCGATTCATCGTGTTTTTAAATATTTGAAAGGAACCAAGGATTATTATTTGTGTTATTCAGGATTTTCTTCGGTATTAGAAGGATATTCTGATGCGAGTTGGATATCCAATAGAGAAGATCATTCTTCTACAACTGGTTGGGTATTTTTGCTTGGTGGAGGTGCTATCTCATGGGCATCTAAGAAGAAATCTTGCATAACTAGTTCAACAATGGAATCTCGGTTTATTGCTTTGGCTGCTGCAAGTAAGGAAGCAAAATGGTTAAAGAATTTGATTTATGAGATTCCATTGTGGAGGAAACCGATTTCACCATTATCTATTCGCTGTGATAGTGTTTCTACTATGAGTAAAGCTTATAGTCAAGTTTATAATGGTAAATCGAGGCATATTGATGTTAGACATGGGATGATTAGAAATCTAGTCATGGATGGTGTGATTTCGATTGAGTTTGTAAAATCACAACAAAATTTAGCGGATCATCTCACTAAGAGTTTGGCGCGAGACTTAGTGCACAAGTCTGTTATAGGGATAGGCTTAAAGTCCTTATAAATTCTTATGAATGAGACACCCAATTACCCTCTAATACAATGTTAGAGGTTGAATTCAATGAGGAAAGCTTATTTATATAAATTGGAACACACATTATAACTATCCCAAGGTACGTGTGTTTGAACCTGTAGAGACCAGGATGAATTTGATTTCTTAATGATTCTTTTGATAACATGTATACAGGTACATGAATAAAAGAATCACCTATATGATCGTGAAGTGTAGCCGCACTTCAAAGAGCTTGGGGGCTTGGCTTTTATACGATCAAGAATGGATTGGGACACACAACTTCATAATTAGTGTTAAGTTATTTTGTTGAGATGATTGTAAAACTAATGTGTAAATTATCTTCAGATATTCAAAAGAGTTGCTGGGTTCAATCTTTAAGATAACTTGATTTCTCGAATGTTTGAAATGTGTAATATACTAACATGAAAATTCAATCGTATCGATATTTTCATTTATGCATTAGTTTCGTTTTCTTTTGTTTTAAGGTTGTTAATTCAAGGTTACACTAAAATAGGGGAGGATTGTTGGTGATTTAATCACCAAATATATTTTAGTGTAATGGATTAAACAAGTGTTTCAAGAATCATGTTTTAATTATAATACAAGTTAGGAGGTGTGGGAGTGTACACTTGTATTTACTAAACATTGTTAGTACCGAACCCTGATCTATGAGGACTAATTTGTCATTCTTTAATGATGCAAATTCAAGGATTAATTCGTATTTTCTGAAAGTTGAAAATTGTTCTCGTTATATCCGTTGTGTAGATAAGTCCGGGAAATAGTATGACTTCGTTGAAACAAAGAAAACAAAAAGACGCTTTCTTCTTCATTCTCTCTCAAAATTGATTATGTGTTTTGTGACTAAAATCAGAATCGTTTCTTCAGGAATTATCCAAGTTTGGATTTCGTGATACCCAGGGCAATTAGGGTTGAAATATCAAACAAGGAAAGTGTATCACACGATTCCTGTTTGTGATCCAGATTTCCTATAACCCAATTTCGAAATTTCCCAACACTTTCTTGCTTCGGCTGATCGTACACATCTCATCATTCCTTGGTTACTTTTGAAAACCATTAAAAAAACTTTTACAGCTCCTTAGTTTGAGTTTGGATTCACACGAATGTTCATCCAATTCTCTCAAACCAAGACTCTAATACCAACTTGTAACACTCCAAATATCATAGAAAATTAAAAATTAAAAAATTTCAACCATTAACCAACATTGTTTACGAAAAGAGTCATTGCTTCAAATGTATCATTCAAAATAATAGTTTTTCCCAAGACCCAATAATACAAAGCAGGAAGATGTGCACAATCATGCCTTCGCTTTCCGGCGATCATCAGAAGTACCTAAAACAATAAACTGAAATTGTAGGTCGAAGCTTACTGAGTTCCTCCAAAGTACCATAATGTAATATTTAAAATACATAGATTAACAAACTGGGTCCACAACCTCCCAGTTGGATTACCTTGGCCCATAACCTCCCCGTTGGATTGCCCTGCGTACTACATACTGGGTCCACAACCTTCCGACCAGGTTGACTTGGGTAGTTTCTAGAGTTTGACCTATTTTGACCAAAGGATATTTTGGATAATTTGGTAGTAATTTAAGTCGGACAATATTTTCGGATAATAGTTGTTGAGTAGATCTGTTTTTCGGGGAAGAGATTTATTCAGCTTGTCTTCATACTCAGAGGTGAGTTTTCCTCACTGTACTTACGGGGCGAAGGCACCAAGGCCGACCCAATGGATTGTATCCTGTTAGATACTGATTGATGATATGTTGAGTATGCGATAGATTTGTATGATTATATGATAGTTATTGATATATATTAGACATGTAGATCTATAGGGCTACCTGTGATTATTGGTTGTATAATCATTTGTCTGTTGTATGTATATTATATGTTATATGTCGACATGTTACGTTAGGGTTGAGACTACTGCTTTGTGTCGTCAGTCAACAGACCATGGGAATCCAACCGGGAGGTTGTGAGCCAGAGTAATCCAACCGGGAGGTTGTGGACCCAACATGCCAATCTAGGTATTTTATATGTTGCATGATGGTACTTTGGGGGAACTCACTAAGCTTTGGCTTACAATTTTAGTTTATCGTTTCAGATACTTGTGATGATCGCAGGACGGTGAAGGCGTGATCATGCACATCTTCCTGTTTTGTGTTATTGAGACTTAGGAAAAACTCTGATTTTGAATAATACTTTTGAAGTAATGACTCTTTTTGTAAACAATGTTGCTTAATGGTTGATTTTTTTTTTTTTTTAAATTTGTATGATTTTTGGAGTGTTACATTGGTCTTGTCTTATAACTTATCCAAACCCCCACACACCCTTGTTAATCATCAAAGAAGAATCCAATTAGAACTAATTCTATTCAACAATAACAACCATAGGGTGTTAGAAATCCATTACCTCAAATGTAGGGATCTTTTGATGTCGAAGAACATTAGTCAAGATAAATTAATAAGGATATTCAATTGAACCAAAAGTCTTTTGGCCTAGCACTATCATATGTTGGAGAAGTGACCCTTCCTAATGTTAGAAAAACGGGTTATTTCGATTGCTTGGATTCCACTGAAAGTCATGATACACTTTCAAATTGAAGTATTTCGGTGGTACAATCAAAATCTCAATTGGATAAAATTTAGTGACAACAATAGAGAATGAAAAGGTTATGATTCTTGTGTGTACCAGATTCAAATGACCAAAAAGGGATATGACTCTGTGTCCGAAAACTATCATATTAACAGTTACAAACTACCACAAAACTATCACTAAACTGACTTAGTCGGCTTGACAAACAAGAACTGCATATTTAACATACAAAGCAAAGCTAATAAGTTTCCTAATACTTGTAAAAATCAAATGATGTCAAAAGATTAGATATCACAAAATCTAGTATTAACATAGATTTAATAAAACTTATAGATTACATGTTTATATATCATGAAAATTTATTTCCAAGGTCATCCTTAACTCACTATTAAGTTTTAGGAGTAACGATATACCAATATCTAATCATTACCCCCTCTAATAAACTTTTGGATTTTGTGTTTGATAGGTCGTATTTTTGGATTGCTAATGGGAGTAGAAAAACTAAAATCATTTGGGTCGATTGGGTTCGTAATCCTATTTCAGCTTGCATTCTTATGTAATGTTTTTTTTTCCTATCTTCTTACTAGTTTTTATAAAATTGTATGTTGTTCCAAAAAAAATTCCTCTGATATATTGGTCGACTTTGAGATACAATTAAAAAGGTTCTCTAGCCACATCACACACCATCCACCCCAACGATCCCCACACAATAATATCGATTTGGTATAGACCAACAACTCTCTCTTTCCCCATCTCCCTCTTTTTAGTGTTCAATCTTCTACACATCTTTTCGTATGTCATTAGCTTTGCTTTAGTTATTGCTTTCTTCTTTCAACTTCGGGTCGTCTTGTATATATTTCTTTCACCTCTCTTTTTCCCGGTTGTCACTACCTAATAGAAATTCTTTAAAATGTGTTTCTTTATTTTGACCTTGAACCTTCTTGCTCCACCATTCCGCTTATTAGCTTAGCCTTTCCCCCTTGACGGATATGACCTCCTGCTACAATTATCATGTAGACCGAGAGATGCACATGTAAAACTAATAACTAATAACTAATTAAATATTAATTATTTATTATAAATAGCGATACAACATCAATGATAAATATTTAAAAATGCACAAAAAATCAACTTGAGAAATTATATTGCAATAAATTTGTTGTCAGGTGAGGAATACAAAGCATAAATGATTTACATATCGAAAGTTCAGAAACAAGTTAAAACTTAAAACCCTAAAAGAGCCTACAAATTTCAATCGTCGACATACCCCACCACAAAGGCACAAATAATCAAAGAAACAAGTGTAGATGTAGAGGCCTTTTTCACCACAATCACCCTTCATCGGCCATTTCGAAGGCCACGTGAAATGTCACTAACGTGGCCCTATAAATATCCACTACTTTGTCTTTAACCTTTCTCCCCTCTCATATAAAACCCTCCATCCTCCTCCTTAACCACCATCACCAACTACCTTCTCTCCTCCCTCAAAAGTACCACCATCTTTTCCGACATGGCTGCTTCTTCAATCTTCATGGCAACTCCCATCACACTCCTCAAGAAAACTCCCACCTTCTCCGTCAAATGTATGTCACAAACACCTCAAAGCGGTGAACCGGGGGTTTCAAAACCAGCAACCACCCCAACACCACCACAGATCAACATTCCTCCTCCTCCGCCACCTGCTCCAAAGGTCAGCACGAAGTTCTCTGACGTGTTGGCGTTTAGTGGACCTGCACCGGAGAGGATCAACGGAAGGTTAGCCATGATAGGGTTTGTGTCGGCGATGGCTGTGGAACTGAGCAGCGGTCAAGATGTGTTCACCCAGATCGGCAACGGCGGTGTTGCGGTGTTTGTCGGGACAAGTTTGGTGTTGACGTTGGCGTCGTTGGTGCCGTTGTTTAAAGGGTGAGTGTGCAGTCGAAGTCGAGTGGACTGATGACATCAGATGCAGAGCTTTGGAATGGGCGGGTTGCGATGTTGGGTCTGGTGGCTTTGGCTTTTACTGAATATGTTAAAGGCAGTGCCCTTGTCTAGATAATGTATCATAAACTTTTCTATTACAGAATTACATCTAAGATAGGCAAATGTATATTCTTTTGAATATTTATGTGTATCGATTTATCATACATAGTTCAAATCATGAAAATCATGTTTTTTTGATAATATAGTATAAAACAAATATGATCAATCAAATTGAACGATTGTGGTATCTTTCAATATAAAATTCCTTTTATAAAATCAAACAAACACTTCCAAATTTACTATATGGAATTTTGTTAATGATTAATGTCAAGTGGGGTGCATCCACCCCACTCAAAGGCCTTGTATCTGTTACCGGTCCCAAGTGATATTTTACAAGGGTCTTTTTGGAGTTTTTCTTTTCCTAATATATTAACATTTTTTTTTTTGTTGATATTTTTGAACTTTTAATTCTCTAAGAAAAGTATACAAAATAATGTGTATGCAAGCTTACTTGAAGATATGATCGTTTATCAGGTTATTCAAGACTTATTCTCTTGAAGTATCTATTCCTAGCTAGATATGAACAAATGTGTTTTGTCTTTATCCTTTTTCCTCTTTGTCAATTCTTGACTAATAAGGTAATGGTAGTTCTTGGTGAGGAATTCACCTCTGTATTGATTCTTCATTCTATTTAAATGTTTGGATTCAACAATGTCCAGTTGAGTAGTTCTTTAAAAGCACAGTCTACCATTTGCATCTTTATGTCAATATGAATTCGGGATTCCACAAACTGAAACTCTTCAATAACTTTTGTTGAGCCCACCACTTCCATGAAATAGGAGACTTTTGTTGAGCCCACCACTTCCATCCTTTTATGTGTTAATGAAACCCAGTCCTTATGGCATGCTTTTTGGATATGATAGTACGTGACTATCAAGTGCTTATTTCTACTCAGTATAGTCATACTCTCATAAGTCTCAAGATTTTACACTCAGAAGCATCGTTAGATTGTATGGCTACCAACCCTGTACTATAAGCATGTTTATTAACATTTAGGGATTTATTTAGAAGGATATCATTTGTCATATTTTTTTTTCTAACACCGGACTTTTTTCTCAGCTCAATTGTTTCAAGTAAAACTAAGTGTCTTCTTAATTCGACAACAAACCATTGGTCATCTTTCCGATTTCAAGTGTTTTGCATATCCTCTCAAAACTTCTTTATTTTTTAACACATAAATTCAAAAATCTATTAGGTATCGGGATTTTAAGGCTTCTTTATTTTCACCCTCAATTAGATTCATATTTTTCATTGCCTTGCAGATTTCCTTTTTAGCTTGAGTCTATTTATCACGAGCCTCATGTCATTTTCTTCCCTCCCCTAATAGGGGTTGTTTGTTTTTTGTGTAAAGATCTGAGCAACCACTTTTGTCTGCGTCGCGCAGACAACGTGCAGACATATGCCCTCGCAGATTGTTTGTTTTTTTGGAAGTGCGCAGATCAGAAAACGTTGCGCGAGGTCTTCCTGGCGCAGACATGGGTCACTGTCTTCAAAGATCGTCAGACCTCATTTTAATCTAAAAAAAAAAAAAAACATAGGCTACTGTGTAGTTTCTTTTTTCTTTATTTTTTTTTGTTAAAAATACATTTTTAATGTTTATGACATGAAATTAAGTTTAAAAATTCAATTTATTTTAACAGCCCGCAGACGTTAAAAACAAACAATCTTCTTATCGCAGACTGCAGACATTTGGTCCACCTCTTCTGCCGCAGAGACTTACAGATATGGTCCGCAGACTGCAGATATTTTGACTTCAAAAAAACAAACAACACCTTAGTTTTGGCTATTGCTAGTGCACGTATTTCATTGGCTAAATGTGAAGACACCTCGATAATAGTGGATGACTTGGTGAAATTTATAGGTTGTTCCTTAGGCTATCCAGAGTGGAGGTAGAAGAAGACGCTTGATGCTGATTGGACATCCAAGTCACACGTGAACACTACCCGGTGGCTTGGCTATGGAGTCTCCATGAAGACGATGCATTCGATTGGTTTAGAATTTGGTCCCTCATATTTTCTCTCATTCTCTCTCCTCCTTTTTGCCCTTCACTACCAATCCACCGGTAAACACCATTTCCACAACCTAATGGGTTGATTGTGAAATGGTAAAATACCTACGTAGCGCTGAGTTAGAAGGTGTTTTGGATATAACCACTCCCCACAACCTTAGCATTAGAACATCCTCATGCTCCACATTAACTAAGAACATCACTTAATCTTCATTAAATACTTTGGGGTTGTACTCTTAAAATAAAATATCTCCCCCTTAGACATATCATCATTTTCCGCATCTGATGACCAAGGAATTTGTGGAGATATATGTGATTTTGGATTAAAGGGGGTTATATTGGTCATCCTTTTTAGACAGCTTTTTAAATTAATCAATCCAAGCTCCTATACCGACGATATTTTCTTGAATCTCTTTAGATGGGGATGATGGTTCATTAAGCGACGACATTTTCTAACCGTGTACCAACGACAAGTCATCACAGACAAGTCAGGATAGGTCAAAAAAGTTGCCAAGATAGGTACCCCCTATACCGGCGACATGTCGTTGGTACAAATACCGTTAGGAATGATTTTCGAGATAAAAAAAATAAAGTTTTATTAATTACTTGTGGCGACGACATGTCGTTGGGATAGGTGCCACCTATAGCGACGACATTTTGTCACCACATGTTTTCCACAAATGTCGATCAAATACCTATAGCGGCGACTAGTCGTTAGGATAGCTATTGGGTGTTCTTTTTTCTAGTTTTTACAGATTTTGTACATTTACCATTCGTGCATTTTTAACAAATCCAAACATTTTGCAGCATATATCAAATAAGATACAATAATTGGGTACCATTGTTCAAATTTAAAACATCAAATTCATGTTTAATATTACATACCAAATTAGATACAATAAGTAGTTAACATTGTTCAAAATAACACAAAACATAAACATCATTATATTCTTTTTTTTTTTCTTCTTCTTCTTCCATCCTCTCGGGTTCGACATTTTGTTGAGAGGTATTTCCTTGTGACGTACTTCCTTCTGTGTTGGAATTGAATAGAAAACTAGCAAACAGTGGTGGTTATGTAACATCCCAAAAATTTTAACAAATTTGAACTTTTTAAAACACCCCATTTATTAACAAAAGTGTTTACAAAAACATGATTTAAAATTAGAGTCTCCTAAGATCCACTCCGTTCTAAAACTGAGGATGCATACGGTCACGCATTTGCCTTGCCATGAATCATTTGAAGAAACTAAAACCATAAACAAATCGTAAACAAGAATCTTAGTGAGTTCCTCCAAAATACCACGCACAAACAGATAGTACATAAATAGCAGCATGTACTAGGTCCACAACTAAAGACTGGATTACCCATGAGCCCATAATATAAGTACGGCTTGCCTATCGACCCACAACTCATATCTGGTTTGCTCTTGAGCCCACAATATAAGTTAGGCTTGCCCCCGGGGCTCACAACTTATGTCTGCCTTGCCCCCAACTCAATCAATCATCGGACTAGAATACCAATGTTCAGCCCTCAGTAAGAGTCTGGCATACCAACTGGTCCTCAGCTTATATCTTGAATGTTACTAAGCCCCCAGTATGAGTCTGGCATGCCCCATCCGAGCCTCAACTCATATCTGGATTGCTCCAATACCCTCAACCCCTTAGTACGAGTCTGGCATACCAACCAGGTCCTCAGCTCGTATCTTCAATGTCCTGAGCCCTTAGTATGCATATGACATGCCCTAATCAGCTCTCAACTCATATATGGAATTGTCCAGGGTTTGTTGGCTACAGAACAAAGCAGTACAAGCTTAACCCAACACAATATGCCGACAAATAAGCAACACACACAGTAGGGGTGTTCACAGCCAGTTCAATTCGGATAGTAATAAAATTATGAACCGTGACCACAAGGCGGGTAGCTCATGCGAACTAACCGAAACCGAACCATAGTGACAAAAAAACCGAACCGAACCGAACCGTATGAAAGCGGGTAACCACGGTTTGGTTCACGGGTACCAGGTAAAATATAAAAAATTAAATTCAAATGAAACTACAAACTCCATTTTAGTTACCTCTTTTTTAAAATTAGTAAGTCAAAGAGTTTAAAAAAAAACATAATGAAGTTCAAATATCATATATTATAATTTGTATATTAAATACAATAATAAAAATAACAAGAAAATCAAATGAATTTAAAATTACAAAATTGGAGTTGTCGATATAGATTTTTGTTTAGGTTATTCGACTCGTAGATCAATCGAAACAATACTAATGAAATAATACTTTTTTTTTACTTTATATATATATATATATATATATATATATATATATATATATATATATATATATATATCAAACGGTTTGGTTCGGGTATCCGCGGATACCTAAATATCAAAACCAAAAACCAATCCGTTGATATCCGGTTTTTTCGGTTTCGGTTTCTTTCGGTTTCGGTTTTTTCGGTTTCGGATTAGCCGGTTCGGCTCGGTTTATCGGTTTTGCGGTTTTTTTGCACACCCCTAATATACAGATAATCATGCACACATAATCATAGGTAGTCTGATAGATCTACCATACTAACAATATCGGCAACTAGCATAGTCATGCAGATCTATTCCATAGTGAGCATATTAGTGAATTGTAGGATAACAAACCAATACACCGGCATTGGTGCCTTCGACTCGTAAATACAGTGAGGAAAACTCACCTCGCACCGCTGAACATAAAGACGATCCCTAGTTGTTGGTTGCCAGATCCCCAAACCGCCAATATCAAGAAAACACCCCATCATAGTTGATCCCACGAATAATTTTTGACTGCAGAACCACTATGATCCACATGCTATCAAATACTAAAATGACAACCCATCAACCTTT